GGCCATGGGCTATTGGCCTATGTCATCTATACAGGATGGCACGAGGCTGGGGGGGGCATGGGCCTTTGGGCCTATGCATTGAGGCCCAATGTCTACAAAAACTGGTAGAATGGGGAAAGAAAGAGGGTTTTGAAATAGAACAGCATCATATATGAGAGGTGCATATTGTTTACATTGCACATGCATAGATGTGTGTGTGTGTGTGTGTGTGTGTGTGTGTGTACAATAAATAGATGATGCACTCCCAATCTCCATGCTTTAGCCAAATTACTTGATCAAAGAAATGCAGCATAAAGTTTAAGTTCACAGGGTTGTGATTCAGTTGTGCTACATCACCTCATTGCACAATTGTAATATTACACAACCAAATATGGATTGCACATTGATGTGTGGTATGCAATGCACAACCATGGAACAAATGCACAGTGTGAAATGCATAATGTTCAACATGTAAGTGTAACAACCTAACTCTTCTTTTGTAAACTTCTACTGAGTATAGACATGATGTGTTTCTCCCGAAAGTGCAATGATACGTGTTGGAGAATTTACCACATGCATATTACACCAACAGGATGCCAGCCACAGAGTGTAAAGACCTAAGTCCATCAAAACATTCTGTTCAACCCAAAAGTTCTCAGTTACAGAATTTTAGAAAAAGCACAAAATTAGTACTTGAATTTGTCATTCCTCAGCTCATTCTGAGAATCTTTTATATCTGAACTTTTCAGCTCTATATAGAAATTAATCAGCAACTGGAATCAACTCCATTATGAATGATCAAGAACAATATATAGCATCTACTGATGGAAAATAGAAAAGGCACAATAAAACTGGGAATCTGACTACCTTTTGGAAACATCAGCTCCAGAATTCTAGTCTGTGTCCAGTAGCTAATTTTAACCTGTCAGAATTTAGCTGCTTTGATTTTTCTTCTCTAAAAATACCAAAAGGGATTACACTGTAACAGGGATTAAGCACTTGTCAAGTATAATTTTCTTAAGTAAAACAGTATTTAGCAAGACTAGATGGCTCAATGCTCTTGAGATGGGATAGCTTTCTAGGTCAGTGGCTCACAAATCTCCAGCTGCAAATTAAGTTAATCAGGACATTCAAAAAGATTCTTCCCTTTGAATAAATAAATGAATGAGTGGTTTCTGCTGTGTTGGTAGCAGAATTCCCACAGAAGTTTATACCCACCAAACAAGGTCTACTCAAATGTTAGAGAAGACTTTAGATGTCTCTAAAAAGGCAGTCCTATCTGCAGAGTTTTGCCAATCCAAGACCAGAGAGCCTGTCACTTCTGAGGTCTTGCTGCACTCCTATGAGCAGATTTGGAGTGAGAAATTGCATTCATATTCTTTCACCTTTAAAACATAATTCAGAAAAGGGTGGTGGTGGGGATGACATATCTTCCAACATTTCACAAATGAAAACTTAGGCAAATTTAGCCAAACAACATCAGAGTGTGGTCAAGATGGCAAAAGTTATTAATTAGGGGGAACACATTACTAGGAGAGGCTGTTGCAGATTGCTTTTACTCAAGTCTGCAGGAAGGACTTTGCATCCTCTTTTCAGCTCATTGAGTTGAGGGCAAACTACTTTTGCACTTTGAGTTCACTTTGCAGCAGCTGGAATAAGGTGAGAACAAGTAGAGAAAGTGGGAGGACAGGAGAGAAAGTGAAACATTTAAAAAGCAGCTGAAAAGTGAAAAACAGATCCACTTGAGTGTCAGTGTGTTTCTGGATACAATTCAAAATATTGGTTATGGGTTATAAACTCCTATATGGTTCAGGTTAGCTGGCAGAACATATCTTCCCATTTGAGAATGCCTGGGCCCTGAGATCCTCAGGAGATGCCTTTTGCTTGGTCCTACCACCTTTATGGCATGTCTGGTGGGGATGTAAGATAGACCCTTCCCAATGGATGCTCTTGGAATTTTCTTCCTATGGAAGCTAAACTGGATTCCTCACTGTTCTTTCATCAGCAGAGAAATATTTTTTTTTTAAAAAAATCTGACAGGCTTTTGAGAATTGATTTTTTTTAAAAGAACAACATTCTTCTCACAGGTCACTGCATTGCTCCTAATTGTGCAGTTTTAAACTGCTTTTTAAATAATTTAATAGCATGTTTTAAATTGATTTTAATTTTTTTATTGACAGTTTAATTACATTTTAATGTTAGCCTTTTGTATATTTTAAGCTATATGGAGTTTGTTTTAATTTGTAGGTGGCCTCAAGTCCCTGATGAGATATGAATAATGTTAATGATAACATTCTTTAATAATAACTTTCTTTAATATTCTTACTCTAAGTGCTGGCACTGTGTATTGCAGTTATGGGTTCATAGCCTAGAATTACAGATCTTTAACTGCTCCATATTCAATTGCACTAAGTATTCACAATCATGGCATTATTGCCACAATCATAAATGCCTTCCAAATTCCACCTTAAACTCAAGGGAGCAGCTCCAATTGATGAAGGAGTGTTCTAAAGGCATGGCAGGCTGACTTTTCAATCTCCTTGTTGCATTTGAGTTTCTGCATGGCAGGGGGTTGGACTGGATGGCCTTTGTGGTCTCTTCCAACTCTAGATTCTATGATTCTATAAGGCTGTAACAACCAGAAGCAGGATGTTTGTCACAATTTCTCATCACACTGCAGATGTCTGGGAGGGGGAGTCTGAAAAGGTCATCCTGCTGTGATCCTAATTGACAGCAGAACAGATGTCTATTGTTTGGAGCAGTTGGTGGTTGTTAAGGTAGCTTTGGGGACTTGGATCAGGGGATGTAACTTGGCTACACATTTGTAAGTGATGTCCAAAACACACTGCAGAAATAGTTCAGTTCAAGACTGCTTTAACTGCCTTGGCTCAGTAGTAGGGAATCCTGGGAATTGTAATTTATTGTGGCACCATAGCTCTCTGACAGAGAAGGTTAAATGTCTCATAAATCTACTGTTACCAGAATTTTCTAGCATTGAGCCAGGGCAGTTAAAGTGGTCTCAAACTGAATTCTTTCTGCCGTGTGTTTTGGACCAAAGCTGCTGAAGTAGAATCTTGAGCAACATTATTAAATGTTGTCCTAGGGATTCTGCCCCTTGCAGCTCTTGGGATATTGTTAATGGGAGTTGCAAAGAAGGGGAAGCAGTAGAAAAACACATTGACAGTGCATGACACAGTGTGAGTTCTGAGCAGCTTTGACAGGTGATTTATGGCATCCCTCTCAAGTACCAAGAGAGACCTTGCTCCTTTTAAGAATCACCTAATTTCCCCTATGATAACCCAGTGTGGGTTCTGGAGAAGAGATCAAGTGTGTGGCAGGAGTTCCAGGGGTAAAAAAAAGTAACCTGGAAATTGACTTAAGGTCTAATCTGCACTGCAGAAATAATGCAGTTTAACTGTCGTAGCTGAGTACTATGGAATCTTGGAATTTGTAGTTTGCTGTGGCATGAGTGATCTCTGACAGAGAAAGCTAAATGTCTCATAAAGCTATAAACCTCATAATTCCATAGCATTGAGCCATGGCTGTTAAACCAGTGTCAACTGCAATATTTATGTAGTGCAGATTAGACCTTAGTCACAACTGCCAAGAGTTTGTATCCTATTTTCCCTCATTATTTTCCATTGCAAATGAGGCAAGTTAGGTTGTCCATGCCACTGTATTTCCAATTCCCAATGGTTTTCAAAGCTGGACACTGAAGAACGCTTATAGGAAGAAGAGCAACTCATTAGAAATGTGGTACTGGAAAAGAGTTCTATGGATACAATGGACTGCTAAGGAGGCAAATCAACAGGTCCTAGAGCAAATCAAGCCTCATATCTCCTTAGAAGCCAAGATGACTAAAATGTGGACGTATTTGCACTGCAGAATTAAAGCAGTTTGAGACCACTTTAACTGTCATGCCTTATTCTACAGAATCCTGGGATTTCTAATTTGATGAAGTATTTGGCCTGTTCTGTTGGAGAGCTTTGATGTCTCACTAAACTACTTTAATTTTGCAGTGTGAATACATTCCAAGACTGCCGTATTTTGGCCATGTCATGAAAAGATATGACTCACTAGAAAAGACATAATGCTTGCTAAGGTAGAAGGCAGTAGGAAAAGAAGAAGACCATATTATAGATGGATAAACTCAGTCAAGGAAGCCATGGGCCTGAGCAGGTCTGTGGATGATAGGGTGAACAAGGTAATGATTGGAGGTCTCTCATACATTGGGTTGCCATAACCTGAATTTGACTTGATGGTAGTTAACAACAACAAATTTGAAGATGACAACTCCTACTCAAAGCAATTTGTCACCAGGTGGAAAAGTGAAGTGGAGTTAAAGGAAGCAACTTCAACTTCAACTCCAATTGAAAGGCGGATCTAGTCTTAACTGAAATCTACCTGCTCTTCAGCATTGTAATTTCTGTCCCAAATCTAGATAAAATATGGCTATTTTTTTAAAAAGTGTAGCTCATCTGAGTGCTTGGACCTTGGCTTTGCAGTTATTTCAAAGGAAGAAGCCAGAATTGCTCTGCACATGTGAATTAGTTTCCTCTGTTGAAATAAATGAGTTTGTCTGCATATTCAAGGCATCACATGAATACACATGGATCTTGAGGCTAGTAACTTTGATTAAGGTTAAAGCTGGGGGGGAGGATGAAATTGCCTGAAAATGAGAAAAGAAAATTAATTTATATGATTAGCGTAACTAAAAATTACAAGGCTTGGCTCAACTCCCCTTTAGAGCCTTTTAAAATAATAATACCGGTAATAATAATATGAAGCTCTTTTCTATATGGAAATTAGATGACAAGGCTCCATACTTCAAGCAGGGTCTGCATCTATTTACTGTTAATGGATAATATGGTGGCTAAATCCTGTCCTTGATAGTTAACTGGTTGACAGAG